AAGAAAAACAAAAGCAGACGCGTACTGGCAGAGAGACAAATATATAACCTTCCACAACCTTCTCCGACTGGCTCAGCCCCTCCATATGCATTGTGTTTTACAGTATATCTCAAAGCAGAAAGAATTTATGGCAGAAAAAATGCAAATGTGGTGGAAAACTCTTAAAGGTCCTTCTGGCCTGAGACGTGAAGGGAGGAAATTGCATTGATTTAAGCTCAGCTTCTTTTGGCATCTGTCCGCCTTCTTCGTTTTTCTTTCCAAAAGTGAAGGCGTTTGTTCCACAGCCGTCGGTTTAGATACAGTCATCTAAAATGTTTTTCTTTGTCTCTCATTATATCCACACTAAGCTGAGGACTTAAAGTGAGTGGCAGCTTCTCGATGCTTTATCGAGAAACTATTAACTCCGTCTTCCAACAGCTTTCTTTTGTGGAGAAGCAAAAATAGTTAAACAATTGCTGCTTTAATTCATGACGTACAACATACAAGGGTGTGTACAATGCCCTGAAGGACAGCATGCTGGGGAAATCAAATGTCATTTCTGATTGAATAACATTAACAAATAGCTGAGTCATGTACCGGAGATGGGCTGTGGAAATATCCGCAAATTGCCTAATTTCTCCTCACAGTTTAGACATTGAATCTTCCCCTTTCAAACATTTATCATAATCTTTAAGGCAATCAGCTTCTTTCAAATGTTTAATCATTTAAAATGAACTACAATATGTTTTGTTCATTAAATACAAAGAGCAGTTAATGATAACTATTAATGTTAATTCTGTCAACTAATTTCAGATTAATCCATGAGATCAGAAGTCAATAGAAACTTTTTTCCATTGTTGGTCAGTTTTCACTTGAATACATTAACATTATATTATCATCTTAGTAGATGAAGGCCTTGAAAAAGAATCTTCCAAATGTCTTTACATTAAAGATGTGCTTTAAGCTAATAGATAAGTAGCTTCCGCTGGAAATACTTAATAAAGCCCTAAAATAATCATCCATATTAAATACTGTGCCTGCAGATATCACAAATAGACTACATTTAGATGACATTGAGATATTAAAAATGGACACTATGAATAATGTGCTGCAATAATATTGTCATATTACCAGAAGGAAAATTCAGGCAAAATAGAAATGTGCATACCTTATAACAAACATTAAATACACAACACAACAACCTTACTGGAAACTGTTGCATACTCTTCCAATCTTGTGTAATTAATAAATAATTGCAAAAAAAAAAGAATTGCTGATAAATAGTTCAGTAAAATATGTTTATAATAGTGGACACACACAAACCACACACACACACACACACACACACACACACACACACACACACACACACACACACACACACACACACACACACACACACACACCACACACACACACACAGCCACACACACACACACACACACACACACACACACACAAACACACACACACACACACACACACACACACACACACACACACAGTGTTATGATTGCAGTTATAGGATAAATTAGAGTGTATGAGACAGAGGACAGAAGCTGTGTCAAAGCTACGTTTAAAAGTGCATATTTTTCGCTACTCGTCTGGAGCTTTTATTTACAACCTGCTGAAGTTTCCCCCTTTTCCTCCATGTCTTCACTGCTCTGGAATGTGCTTGACAACAGATCTGTGATTCCCTGCTACAGCGAAGAACTTCAGTTTATGACGATTGATGGCCGTTTCCCCGCTGAGTTCACATTGCATCATCCTGGTTCCCCGCAGCCTCCGGGGTAATCGCCTAATTCCTCTGTAGTGTTCAATCGCCTCAAACCAAGAGACGCCCCGTAGGGCTTGTTTCACCACGACCAGCATATTCCCCTATTAATCATAGCGGCACGTTGTGGCATTATCTCTTTTGGTGTATGCACCACATGCAGGTTACGTAATGGCAACAACAACGAACTACACTTTAGGGGAGGCTTTAAGATAGCAGTGTGTTGATTTAACAGTTGGGTAAACAAAGACACAAATCCAAAGACTTGTTTCACTTGAGGGAAATTCTGTTGGCTTATCTCTCCCTCTAAATGGTGTAATGAAAGCATTACTGTAATGCAATAATCCATCAAGGGAAATATTAATCAAATATTAATTCATTTACATTTCAGTACATGTATGACCAAGCTCTATTGGAATATTTCCTCTTACTGTATGTAGTGCTTTAGAGTGGTGAAGTACAGATGTATATTTGTAGTCCGTCCTGGATCTTAGCATCCCATGGGTTCCCTGAACAAAAAGCAATGTGTTTTTTCAGAAAATTCACAATATAAAAGGTTGGCAAACACACTTTTATGATTCTGACATGTTTTGTTCAGCAGGATTTTCTCCACTTATTAACACCACTTTCATGATTTATAAAGCATACATGCAATTGGCAGAAGTAAAAAGCTAACTGTAGACTTAAAACAAAGTACATCATGTTCGCATGACTTCACGTCACCACTACTAAGCTAAAAGCAGGTATGTGTTCATTGTGATCCAATTTAGTAGTCACATTGAGTCACCACTGTTTTTTGACAGATGTATGCTTCGGACATTGACGAGTGGGGTGTTTACTGACGTATTTGATACCATAGAACGAAACGTGAAATTCTCTTCAGCATGTGTTATTTATTTTAGGAATCTAACTAAAAACCCATTAAATAAACTTTGAGACAACGGATCTCCATTTAGTGCTTTAGGACTCATTATTGCACCTTTCTATCCAGCTGTTATCGGCTGTCATTGTGGCTTTCTTTTTTTTGCTCTATAAAACACTGTCTGTCTAGGGTGAAACCTGAGACCAGCTGTTGTTACAACGTGACAGATTTTCACATATTGGAAAAGTTAGGATGGCCTTGATCCCTGTGACCTCTTGACCCTCACTCACGTCTCCACACAGCCTTGAAGAGATGCCTCGTCTGGGGATCCAGAGGAGAGGCAGAGAGGGAGGCGAGGTTTGACATTCAGAGGCTAGGGTTTGTAGCTGGTCCAGCAGACATGCCGGACTTAAAGATTAACACACACACATAAACACACATACACACATGCCCTCACTAGCAGCGGTGCGTGAAGTAGCCCCAGGAGGACAGTTCTTGGAATTGGTTGGTTGGCTCTATTTGAGACCTTATGCCATTCTTTGATGGCCGAAACAAATTCCTTCTGGTTTTCCGTTTTATGATAGAATCGGCTGTATCACAAAAGCACCAGCACAGGTTTTCAGAAGTTATATGCAAAGAAAACAAATAACTTCCTCACTCTTTCACCTTTACTTATCCCCCTTTTCCTTTTTCTCACAACCCCTTAGGTGTTGAGCTCTTTGCTAAAGCCTAAGTATGTCATTAAAGCGCAGCAAATGAGGAGGAAGGAAAGGCACGGAGCTAACATGGTTTCAGTGTGGGAGATCATACAGGGGCTGTGAGATTGTTTTAGGTGTTTCCAAGCTGTCGATTTGAGCCATAAATGAAAGCAAAACAACAGTGTGGGAGCCAGCCGAGCCAGTGGAGGCTCAAGGACTTCATACTTTGAGTCTCGGTTTCATTTCAAGCCAACACCACTTCCACAACCTAACTCCTCTAGCTGTGTACCTGCCTTCCAGCTATCCATTTTCTCTCTCCAACCTACTTCCCTGCATGTCACACTGCTGCTGTGCTCATACTTTCCCCCAGTCTTGTTTCTGTGTGTCACTCTCTTTGTGTAGTATTTTTTATCTCAATTTGATTTACACTTTTCACAATGCTGAGGAACTAAATAAACAACAGCCCTCTTTACTTTCCTTTGCCTTTGTTTATCTGTCCAGTTTCTTTACATTTCCTGCTTCTTTCCTCTGCCTTTGCTTTTTCTGTCTGCCTCCTCTGCTCCACTCATGCATCCCAGCAGTCTAGATTTCCTTTCCTCAGGTTATAATAGTTAGACTGTGAAATCACCCAGGCCCCACACCCCTCCTTTCATCCCTGTGTCCTTCTTTCCCCTTCCACTCCCTAATGTCGTACTCTCCCTCCTCGGATTCCCTCCCCTTCTCTCACTTCTTATTGCCAATCTTTAATATTTATGACCTCAAAGTTTGAGTAGTGGGTGGGGACACAGAGTTATACCGCACCTACTGTATCATTACTTGCATGTTGTCACATACCAAATAAGGTGAGATGAGGGAGTTGCACTACAAGCTGCAGCCCTACAGCGCACAATAGAAGCTACCCAATCTCCTCCGATCCCCCATACTGAAGTGATTAGGCCACAGGAAGCTGAACCTGACTATGCTGACACTTGCCCCCCCCCCCCACCACCACATCCTGCCCCAACATCCACCCACGCCACAACACCACCTCTCTACGCTTTCACCGGACTCACCGTGGCAACCGCAAGGCTGATTTACATATGCTGATATGGTAACAGTGGATGGATGAGCAAAGGACATAGAATATTCAAGAGAGTTAAAAAATGATAACAATATCCTTAAATCAGAGGGGCGGGGACCATTTTGTCTCATGATGTGGTGGCAACTTTAAACAGGAAAAGACAATGCACTTGGCCAGTTTCAAGCCTTTTATTTAAAAGTAGGATAACTAGTGCTTGATTTTGGCTACTGGCATGACTGCTAACACTGTTTTTGGTAAATCATATTCAACGTTTTCTTCAAGAATTTGTATATGAATAATACGCTCAATGAGAATGAATAATATGTGCAACGATTGTATTTTCTCCTAACCAATCAAATGTATTTTAGCTGAGCATTTCAAAACACAAGCTGTGATAAAATGCATAGCAGTTTGCGTAAACAATATGGTGATTAATGTTACCTCGTGAAAGAGCTCTACTGCCCTCTTGTGTTTTGGGGTGGAAAAGCTCAGAAATAAGAGCATGGACATTGCTTTTCATTTAATCTTGAGCAGAGAATTTTCCGCTATCAAACATACATCACATTTGGGATTTATATGTGGATTTCACTCAAAAAGGAATTAATCATAAGAAAATCATTCCAAACATTTTCTAAATACATTTGTCTTTATTAGCGCCTTAAATACCACTTAAAGATTGGTATTCTAGAAAGGTTTTCACAGTACATTGGGCATCATAGAGTAGAACAAAATATACTTTGAATTCTGCATTACCTATTCATAAAAGAACATTCTAAAATTTCAAATGGATCTCCCCGATCATTTAACAAGCTTAATTAGGCACATTTAGGCATTCAAATATTCTGGATTATTTCATCAGCACTCAGCAAATCTAAACCTGCTCAACCAGAAACTCCAGGTAGCCAAGTCTTGCCCCTCATTTTAGCTGTTATTTCTTCTCTATCTGTGTTCCTTGCACCGATCAAAATGTGTCTTTTTTAAAGTAGTGATTGCTCTCGGTTTGACTCCCGTCTCCGGTGAAAGTGTTTCATTTCACTAATGCAGGAGAGAAACCATCTCACTGAATACTCTGGGGGCCGTGGGAATAATCAAAACACTGCCAGAGACAGCGAGGAATACAAACACCAGTTAAGAACAAAGGAAATGGAAATCAATGGCAGGATATGTAGATTTCTTTGACAGCTCGACACGCAAATAATCTTTTGGGAGTTTGCCCTCTGTTGCCTTTGCCAGGTTAAGATAACAACTGAGCGGGGGAATATAAAATGCAGAATGCTCCATAAAGGGCACAGCATCACACCTACTTAGTTTTGTGTGAAGGTGTTCCAAAACAATCAATAAAGAATGTACTGCAATACAAGCGAGGCAGCAGCGCCTAAGGCATGGTCATATCTATAAGTACTAGTAAACTCAGGAATTCATTAAAAAGCTGTATTATTTAAAAGCTCAACTTTGAGGCTTATGCGCAGTTGTATATGTCAGTTTGTCGACACTTGAGGAGCTTGAGGAAGGTCTCCATCTTATGGGCGTCTTTCTTGAAGCAGCTGAGTAAGGTATAGTCTCTCATCACGGATTCCAGCATCTCTGGCTGAGCGTCGTTGTGGAAAAGGCCTTGCTCACTGTTTGTGGTTAACAACCCCTCAGCCAACATCTGTAGGGACACATTTGGAAGAAATATTGATATATTACCAAAACTGGCAAGGTTTTACTGTTAAATGCTTAATTCAGGTTTGTCCATTAAAGGTCACCTATCATGCTATTTTTAGGCAATAGCATAGGTCTCAGATATATACAAATATATAATAAACATGTCTATGAAGTGTTTTGCTCAAAATACCAAACAGATCACCCATTCTAGCCATGCCTCATATCCCTCTATTTCAGCCCTGTTACTAAAGTGCTGATTCGGGCTATAAAGCTTTTTTTTTTTTTGAATGATTAAATGCCATATCATGTTCAAAACCATATCAAGGATTATTTCTGAAACAGTATGGAGCTCAAATGCTTTCTCTCTTGCCGGTTTAGCACAAGGTGAGTTCCTTTTTATATCCTGCACATGCTCTCTCCAGTAGGCTACAGGTTAGCTCTGAGCATAGCCGCGGGAAGTAGGGGTGCTGGAGGTGCTGCAGCACCCCCTGTTGGCGAATGGTGTACTTTTTTGCCGGTTACTATTATGTTAATGTTACTGTTGAAATCTCTCCCCACTTTTGGCCACACCCCCTAAGTAAAATGACTTCCCGCGGCTATGGCTCTGAGTGTTAGCGATGCTTGCTAATGTAAACAAAGACCATATTACGTCCAAAACAGTCGGGCATTGTTTCTGATAGCATGGGTGTAAGCCAGCCCACATTTTTGATATAACGTCATATCGGCAGCAAATCTGGATCAGCTCCGTTGTAGCCCCGTTTTTAGAGATTTGCGCACGGAGGAAAAGAGAGAGGGTTGTATTTTCTGACACTTTGTGAGTTCCCTGACACACCGGGGAGACATATTTATGTATAAAAGACATCATAAAGTGCATTTTGCATGACACTGTAGGTCCCTTTTAAATATTTGTACTTATAGTAATCAAACATTCTGCTGTGGGTTTTTCTCTATGGCAGTCAATGGGATTGTACCCACCTTCTTGATGAGGACCACCACTCCTTGCTCCAGACTGATCAGCTTCTCAGACACCCACTTGGTCTTGTTAAGCAGTGTGTCAGGAGCCACATCGTAGAGATTCAGTGAGGTCTGCAGGTAGACCAAAGGCTCGATCCACGACTGGACCAGCATCAACACAGAGTGGAGCAACCATTTGTCCTGCAGGGCACACAGGTGAGAAGTTAAAATGACTGAACGAATGCATGATTCACTGCACAAAAAGTACAAATACTGAACATAAAGTTGTCCCTAGAAACTACAAAACATGACAGAGCTGCAGTAGAACTGTCTTTGGTGTTTGATCACATGCCAGCTACAAAACATTCAGCAGCATCAGTTGGTTGAAATGTCATGGGTGAAGCAGTTGAGCCCGCTTAAATTCCCCTAAGCAGAGTAGACTCCAAAGCAAGTGAAAATGACCGCCATACAAATGGCCATTAAACCGCAGCGCAGGCAATATTTCAGCAGAAAGGGCAAAGGATAAATTATTAACATAAAGAAGAGCCTTGCAGTATATGCAGTTTCAAAGATCACATGTACTGTTATGGTGGTGATATGACTTTCAATAAGTAGTTTCAATACTGCTAAAAATCCTGAAGTATATTGCTATTGCCATTTTTACTTGGCCTTTGTTCAGATTACAGTTTACATCAGCTAAATCACTTCTTCATAGGCATTTCGATAAGTGGTTCAATCTAGTTTTAATCGTACTTATCAAACTGATATTAGGCTGTGACCAGTTGGACAGTGATCAAAACCTCACTAGGCACACACAGTTTGAAAAAGAAAAACACTTCTAAGAGATTTGAGGACCTTCAATTGTAATTAGACCAAACACTATCATTTAGCAGCTGACAGGGGCAGACGGAGGGGAGGTTCAGTTGCACACTTTGTACACATTGTTTTGAATAAGAAAGTTTTGGCTCTAAGCGCCACTAAAGCTTTCAAAGACATTTTTATTTATTTGTTTAACCACACTAAAGCCTGCACACACACATACACATACAATGACACATGCACACAAACTGGTAACTCCACTCTTATGCACAGAAACAAACAGACACAAGTGCATTCTCCTAGACAAGATTACTGTCTCCTATAACACATATTTACGCACATAAAAGCAGCGTTGCACTCAGACACACACTGGTATTGTTAACAGGCTAAGATCAAAGGACTGACAAACACAATTAAAAACATCTCTGGTGTTCAGCGGCCATGTACATACAGAGATCTGTTGGATTTCACTCCTGGAGCTGGGGATGGGTAAGGCTTTGGTGATGCATGCATAGCCTGCTTGGTTCCTCTGGAGCTGCAATTCGAACGGGATGAACATCTCCTCCTAGAAATCCATACAAGCATGCGGGGGGGGGAAATACAAAAGAAAAAAACATGTCAAAATACACTCACCTAAGGGGTACATTCATGTGCACACATAGATATTTGTGTAACAATACTTACTGATATTTTTTCTAACCCTCCTTAATGTTAAATCCTGAAAAAAACTTGTTTTGAGTTTATGTTATTCTATTTATTCAAAACTGAATGCCATAAGCAGCATGATACCAATCTGTGTTACATTTTTGAATAATATTTGTTTCTGGCAGAACATTTAAATGTTTCACTCTAGTACTAAACCTCAACTAAAGAGAAGCAACCCTTTTGTCTTATTTAAACTGATGTAAAACCTCCAGTTCTCATAGGAACAGAATTACAAGAACCCACATAAGGAAGCATCTTGAAAACAATGACAAAAGCTTCACCAATCTCTGCCACTGGAGACTCAGCGGAGACTCATTTTGTTCCGCAGCATGTTCTCTATTGAAGACCTCATGCAGCGTCTTCTCTGTTACAAGTCCTACATCATCCCATTTCAAAGACCATTTTTGATCTGCAGCCGCGGAGTGAAGGGGATTCAACAGGCTGTAAAACCTGTGCTCTCACTGCTGCGGTATATCATTATCACATTCGTATTACTGCAATGTAGGCCTGCTTCTTCAATAAAACATCTTTGGCTGAGAAGAGAGATAGAAGATTACTTTGAAGCCTGGCAGTGAGGCGATGATCATGTCGGAATCAAAAGCAAATAACACAGAGTACCTAGTCCTTAAGGTCCAGCACAGTGTGGGAAAGTCCAACAAAAAGTACTTTTGCTTTCATTGTAGAACTCATTCAAAGTGCTGCTAGACTGCAGGATGGATAGATTCCAACATCAAAATAACATATCTTGGGAAATGCAAAGCTACTGTAACTTATGAGCGATATATGAACTACTTTCTAGCCTTGACATGTGGATAAACAACCAAATGTAGCTGCTCTTGTTTTTTTCCGTATTATTAAAAAGGTAAGATCATGCAGCTTCTCAAAAGCAAAATTATGCATTTCTGTCACCGTAGCATTTGCCTAAGGCTGCGTTTCTACAGCACTGCTTTTCAAAATGCTGATTTCACATTTCATAAACATATATTTTTTAAACTAACTCATGCCCCACATAGGCCCTGAATGCAATGAATGGATTACCTTTCATTGCATCCTCTCTTTCTACGTACAATAACAAGGATTTTCTATTTTCTAGTGTGAAGAGGGATTCAGTTTCTCCTGAGGCTATACACTGCTATAAATATGCCTTTACAGTTTACTGAAGGAGCCTGCGGATGTAAAGGGTCCGCCGACATGTTTTTCCGATACAGAACATGAGTGCGAAGACTCATTTTGGGGTTCTACTCACAAACAAAGAGCATGATTCTTCTGAGACACGGTAGATGAGCTCGGCGTGTTGGATGACTCGGTCTAGAAGCTTCTCTTGGGAGATGGAGGGGCAGCTGTTGAGGCCGCCCTGATCTTCCCTACAGTCTAGGGGGATGCTTACGGTTTGCAGACAGGGCCAGAGCAATAGAGGCCATACAACGCTCTGCATGACTGACAACCAAAAATAAAAATCACATATAACAAATTCACTGCTCAAGTAAAGAAACTGTTGTAATTTGAATCTGTCCCAACAACTACAAAAGTTGTCTGTCAAGTGTGATGCATTACCTGTCATCTTGTTCATTCTGTTCATTCTGTTCAGGACCTTCCTACCTTTTCTGTCATGCTCACTCCATTTATAAATCCTGACCAGGCCATGAATAAAGAATACAGGGCTTTTGGTCTTGCGTAGGTTCTTGTAAAAAGATGCTGGTCTTCCCAAAGCAATGCATTTATTTTCTCATGCATTATACTACAAAGGTAACTTCAGTCACTCAAAGCAAGGCCTAAATACGTCATCTTTCTACCTGATGTAAAATTACAAACTGGGATTTTTCTAATTATTTCTGGCAAAACTAAATCTGTATAAGACAATAAAAAAAGAAAGAAATCTGAATAACTGTTGTGTACATTTATATTCCACCCAGTATCCTGATACCTTATGCCAACAAATCTAAGAATGAAGACTGAGACTGATTAGATTTATCAAACAAAAGCTCAGAAAAGGAATGGGCTGAAAAATCCTTCCTTTCAGCGGAGTTAAGTATGTAATGTAGATTTATACATTCATGACAGAGAAAGCTGCATAAAATAGAGAGCGTAGAACTGTAGTCGACACAACAAAGAGAGCCTGACTGAACGAGATTCAGAAATCACTGAGATCTAACAAAACCCCTCAAATGTTGACATTCATATTCCATCCTGTTCAGAAAACCATGGGTGTTTGAGAGTAGCTCTACCCACAAGCTATGGTTTCCAAATGGTAATGACTGTGTTTAGCTGTCATAGAAGGAAGCACACGTTTAGTAGTAATCCACGCCTGCTTGATACAGACTCCATTAAATGCTACATCTCCTTTCTCTCGATTCACTTTTGATTTGATCCATCCTTGTGTTACTGTAAATTGAAAGATTAGCGGGGATGAATTGTCTCGCAATAAATCCATCTGTTTATTTTGAATGTAAATTACTGGAGATTTCTGCTTCGTACACATAAAATATAATGTTATCGTCTGTTATCATAAAGCATAAATAGAAGGACTGAGGGTTTTTTCTTTGAAAACAGGGATATCATTCAAAAGGCTTAAGCGTAAATGTTTGTTTCCTCAGCATGTTTAAAGATAAGCCAAAGACAGACGGGATCAGAAGGTGGCAGCTGAGGGGTGTAAAGTTACTGAGAGATGGTTTCCACTTGTGCATTCTCAAGACACCTGAAACCTCACGACACATATGCCGACCTTTTCAATATGAAACAATGTTCTCTTCTCATCACCTTTCTGTTACTCCCACACTTGTTCCTTCTCCTCTTCTTCGTGGCTTAGCAGGTTTTTTTTTTAAATGTAAGCACACCTCTCCGAAGCATCTTGTCTTCTTCATGTTATTCCTATTACATCTACAGGAAATATGTGCAGGTTCATTTACAAAACATCCCAATTCATGTGATATCATGTCATATTACAATAGTTCAATCTATTCTTATTATTTTAAAGTGTTACCATTTAGGGTAACACTTTATATTAAAGGTGGGGTAGGTAAGTTTGAGAAACCGGCTTGATGATACACTTTTTGTTATATTCCATGGAATGCTCTTAACATCCCGATAGCAATGAATATTTTAAGTGCTTTGACAAAAAATCCATAAAAAAATGTCATCTGTGGAAGCCGTAGTACTGTAAAAAGCACGACCAATCATTTTAGTCGGCCCGGCTAAAATAACTGGATGGCCTACCTGCCTGTCAGCCTTCCATCTGTGCACAAACTTATCTCGTGCCCTCATTGGTCATGTGCGCGCTCGTGTGTGTTGGAGGAGGGGCTCTATAAGGAAGTGGCAGATTTTCTCCGGCTGTGTATTTTCAAATTCTAGCGCACTCGAGCTGGTTTCTCCAAACTTACCTACCCCACCTTTAAGGTACACAAATTAACCATCAACTAGTTGTTAATTAACATGTATATTATCAGTATATTGGCTCTTTAGTAGTCATTATAAAACACTTGCCTTATTCTACATGACCATATTCTACAAGTAATAAGCCATTAGTTGAGAGTTTTTCCTCAATAACCCTCTAATTAGTGCTTATTTGTTGCAAGTAAGGAAGTTGTTGTACATGAGTTTTGGTCTTAATATGCTCTGCTCAATATGGGCCTAATAAGGCAGTAGTACCACAAGAATAGTAATTATCCCATAATAACACTTAACAAATATGATCTATTCTTATGTAACAAGACATGAAACTACAAGTGTTAATTAAGTCTAAATAACTTAAAAATTAGGTATTTCTATCTAAGAACATGTTCCCTATTTTAAAGTGAAGTCTTGTTCATAACCAATAAGCTAGTAGTTTGACTCTAATTGACCTGAACAGGTTCCCTATTCTAAAGTTACCTCCTCTTCACACTTTGTAAATACATTAGGGTTATTGAGGAAAAACTCTCAACTAATGGCTTATTACTTGTAGAATACGGTCATGTAGAATAAGGCATTAATAAGTGTTTTATAATGACTACTAAAGAGCCAATGTACTGCTAATATGCATGTTAATAGTTGATGGTTCATTTGTGTACCTTAATATAAAGTGTTACCATATTTAGTCTTTGTAGCACAACCTTATACAGGTTTAACCTAATTAACCTAAACAATTACATATGAAAATGAATGAAGACCTTTTTCTGTGCATCTGCATTTTTTATAAACATTGCTTTATAATCTATAAAAAAAAACACATAATTCTGGTAGAAATGTGTTTAAGTTTTTTTTATATTTTCATTGGCAAAACCCCATCATCGCAGCGTTGCCAAGCTTATTCTTCCACTATAGAATGTGTTCACCTTTTTCACACATTTGCTATAAAGTATGTGACACTGTCTCACTACCGTTTTAATTTCATGGGGTAATGTTTTTTTGTAGTTTTAATGTTGTCCATGTAAAGTGTATTCACACATGGGCACAGCTGCTGTGCTTGTATCTATTTTTTTTATTTATGAAGCAATTTCTGGTTTGGAAACTAAGGTGAGAATTGCCTTCAACAAAGAGGCACGCAGAGATATGCATTAATGAAAAAACATGAAGCGGAGAAACTGTGTTAGATGGAAAATTGCCACCAAACCTTTGTGTCTATTTGCACAAACAGATCCCCACGTAATTTAATGTCTGGCACTTACAGTATGGTATGTAGTGTGTTATCTTAATTTCAAAGCTGTCCATCTGGGGAAGAAAAAAACAGGGAGTTGGTGCATGAAATAACTTGTCAAATCAGGTTGTAGAAAAACATCTTCTACCTGTTTTAAATGTGAAAAATCAACAGGGAATGTTAATACAGGAGTCACAGTGTACATATGTTGATATACAATATTTATAAATCATATTGGTTCACCTAACATTATATTACAGCCTTTTTTTGATATGTCTTATCGGATATTCTTTCAACACACAAAGGGTTTTGCAGAGGACACTCTACTTCTACAAGGTACAGTAATCTATTCATGTCCACTGTGTATCTCCAACATCTTCATGTACAAAACCCATCCCTTGACCTTGAAGCCGCTTCTGTTGCTTCTACAGTCCATTGTGTCACAATAGTACCATAGAATCTGGTGCTTTAGATGCAAAGTGCGCTTAAATGGAAATTCATGCCTCTCACAGATTCAGTTTGTTCTGGCAAATTCTGTACATACATCGGCCTGTACTATTTCAAAATGTCCTTATTTGTTGTCCTGAACAATATCGTCAAGCTAATAATCAGTATTGGTGCAGTGTGACACATTTTGGTCAGCTGATTTGGGTTCCTTCAACAAAATGTTGTCTTTAAATGTTTGGAATTTTGGAATATGAGACAGAAATCTCTGAAGCATGAATGTAATCGCCAGAAGAAAGCTAAGATTATAAATGAACTACATCACGGTTCGCATGAGTGCGCATCTCCACCGCTAAGTTATGTCTTGGCGTGATGACGTTTAGTCTCTATTTTTTTTACTTTTTTGTGCAACCAGTTCCATCATTTTGAAAAGCTGCTAATGGTCCCGGGCTGGATTTGTACCCTGTTCCTCGGCTTTTGACAATGATGAGTGTGGTATATACTGAGGTGTTTTATAAAATAGAACAAAATGAAAATATCTTAAGCTTGTGGTAAACAAAAGAAAGTTCACTTTGAGACGAAGGAACCAGTAAAAACGTTTAAAATGCTAACTAATTTCGGGTTTTAGGATGAATTCCTGCACTTCTCTTTCCTTAGTCGTTGAAACAAGATTTCCTCTCATGTTAAAACCATGACTGTACAGTATGCCATGTATGTCATGCTATATCCATGCCAGCAAGAGAAAAGGACAATTTAATGGGAAGAAAACACACACATTAATCAGTCTGTTCCTGACAGACTTCACATGCTTGCTGATGGTTGATTGGCAGCTCCTAAATTAGGACGCTTTGCTCCCCTGGTATGTTTGTGGTGGTGTTTATATGATGATGTGAGAGAGAGAGATAAGAAGGAAGAGAGCGCTGTATATACTAAAGCGGTCAAGTAAAGAAAAGGCAATTGTACGGTCAGGGGAATACTACACATACATATCTGCTTAAATCAATGCAAAGAACACTGTATGTTGGCGGGATTAAGTGGAAGTCAATGGGATATATTTTTATCCCTTGATATTTGCCAACCCTTATACTGGAATTTATTTTGGCTTTGTTCCATAAAGAAACATACAAAATTACATTTGGAAATATATACAATTTGTTTGTACTTTTGTCTATTATATTTTCATTTATATTCCCATTATTCTTCAGTATATTGTTTTATTGCAAATAAGGTCTGCCTTGAAAATTAGATTGTATTCTCAATGGGATTTACCTGAGACAATAGAAGTTGTAATTGCAAAAATGCAAGATTTACACAATATTACACCCTCCAAACTTTAGAATTACAACACTTTTTTTGTACCATTATCCTTGTTTGTGTGCTTATCTTCTGGCAGGGAATATACAAAAAGGTAAGCTATTCACACTTTCAAAGAGATAATAGCTTTTATCTGGATTCACCTCATGAGTGTATTTTAACTGTCCCTAGCATTTTGTACAATCTGTATGCAGTCAGTTGACAGCATTGTGTGCATGACAAGTACTGAATGCATTATTCACTGTTTAAGAGTGACAAGAACTCAGCAGATTTGAG